CAAAATGATTGATGTTATTGTTGTTGCTGTTGTTGCTATTTTTTGTTATCGTCATCCCACCCGCGACCCACCCCGCGACCCACCCGCGACACACCCTGCGACCCACCCCGCGACCCACCCCGCGACCCACCCGCGACCCAACCCGCGACCCACCCGCGACCCACCCCATGACCCACCCGCGGCCCACCCGCGACCCACCCGCGAACCACCCCGCGACCCACCCCGCGACCCATCCGCGATCCACCCGCGACCCACCCGCGACCCACCCCGCGACCCACCCGCGACCCACCCCGCGACCCACCCTCATGGGAGGAAAAACCACCTGGACCCGACAATGGACGTTTACTAAACGGCCCAGGGCGTTGACTAAACAGCCCTGCCCTGTTCGATCCATTCCTCGTGTGCGTTTACTAAACGGCTTCGCTTATCGGGGTGATTACTCTGGCGTGGAATTTCTGCCCTCTACACCCGCGACCCATCTGCGACCCATCCTTGACACAACAGCGACCCACTCGCGACCTACCCACATTTGTTTAACGAAAAATCTGCGCCTGCGGCGGGCTCGTTGAATAATTTCTGAAACTTTGGCGCCTGCGGCGGGCATCTCCAGAGTCTCGCAGACTGCCGACGTCCCCACCGCCCCCTCACTCATATCCGCATCTGCGGGGTGCTACGTACAGCGAGCCCACCGCAATCGCCGATGTTTTCTTCAAACCAATGTGGATCGGTCGCGGGTGGGTCGCGGGGTGGGTCGCGGGTGGGTCCCACGTGGGTTGCGGATGGGTCGCGGGTGGGTCGCGGGTGGGTCGCGGGGTGGGTCACGGGGTGGGTCGCGGGTGGGTCGCTGGTGGGTCGCTGGTGGGTCGCGGGTGGGTCGCGGGGTGGGTTGCGGGTGGGTCGCGGGGTGGGTCGCGGGTGGGTCGCGGGTGAGTCGCGGGTGGGTCGCGGGGTTGGTCGCGGGTGGGTCGCGGGTTGGGTCACGGGTGGGTCGCTGGGTGGGTCGCGGGGTGGATCGCGGAGTGGATCGCGGGGTGGGTCGCGGGGTGGGTCGCGGATGGGTCGCAGTGGGGACGACGACAACAAATAAGAATAGCAAAAACAACAACAGCAACAGCAACACCAACAACAATAACAACAACAGCAGCAACAACAGCAACAACAAAAACAACAACAACAACAACAACAACAACAACAACAACAACAACAACGACAACAACAACAACAACAGCAACAACAGCAACAACAGCAACTACAACACCAACAACAACACCACCACCAACAACAACAACAAGGACAACAACAACAATCAATTTAAGACTGCTCGCTCTTATCTGCTCGAGTGCTTATCAGCGTGCACTCCCCGAACTCTCGATACCCGCCTCCTTCGTCTTCGATCATACCACTTTTGGCGTGTATATATTTATCCGTGAGTTATGCGAGCTTAGCCAGGAAGTTGTCAGCGAGAGAACGATTCCGAAGTGAATTTGAGAATGTCCGCAGCGGACGCGCGATTCCTGAATGGCAAGAGCGCGGCGCCTGAGTAAATTGCAAGGGAGTCTCAGGCGGGAGCGCGATTCTTGAGTAATTTGCGAGGAAGTCTCAAGCGGGAGCGGGGGACCGGAGTAAATCTCGATGAAATATCAAGCGGGAGCCGTTGTTGTTGTAAACCGGTGGCCAGGGGCACGGTTTGAAGAGGAAGACTTCCCTTCATAGAAACAGGGTGCGAGCGCCGGGAGGGGCACTTCAATTGAAAAATAAATGTGCACCGGAGGGGAATTAACAATACTTATTTTTCAGCAGAGAAAGTTCAACAACAACACCACCAACAACAATGTCAGCAACGCAACAAGCAGAATCCTCACCACGGATTCTCACTTCAGCCACGCACCCAGGGACAATGAATGACCGTTCGGTCCCCTCACTCTGATAAACAAATTGCCTTAAGAGCCTGCTGGACGCTAGTCCATGTACAAGCGGCGCCCAATGACAAAGTGTCCAACAAGGTACTGATCCAGCTAACTGCCGTGGATGCCCTGCTGCCGCCCTGACTGGTCACTCAGGGGTCAGCAGGATGTCAACAGATAGCCCAAACCTCCAGGACAACCTTCAACATCGGCTTTACACAATAATGGCTCTAGGCAAGAGTGACCTTTGGTGCGCGGTTTTGGGGCGGGGTGCGCGGGTGTGTGTGGGGCCAAACCCAACACAAGCCGCTCATTTCCCATCGCATCCGGTGGTGCGGGGATCCTTGACAATCGTCGTCGTCTGGTACCGGGGTTGTAACTCAGGCGACCGTTCTGCACGATTCGGGCACACGCGGACCGAGGCGCAGCCGCCAGGCAGCATCCCGCGACTGGAAAGCGCAGAGAGGAGACCAACTCGCAAGAACACTTCGACCCTCGACCCCTGATGTGTCTTGACTCATCTGACTCTCGGCTACACGAAAGAGTAATCCCAGGTAAGAGTGACCTCTGGTGCGCACCTTGAGGGGGCCACACCCAGGCGCGCAAGTCTAGGCGGCCATATCCGATCTGGGGGTCGCGGTATGCCCGCACCAGAGGTCACTCCGGCGAAGGGTCCTGTTCGAACAATATCGATGGACCGACAAGGCGTACACGTGAGCCCTGGCTTGCCCGAAGATCAGATTTTGTTTTGGGCCTCGCCACGCCCCCCCCCTCCCCCCCCGTACAACCACACTTGGCAGAATCTGAATCAAAAAACACTCCTCGTGGGCCTCGGGGGCGCACAGAACCGGGGCACTGCAAACCCAGGTCAGTCAGGCCTTGCAGGATCTGATCCTGCAGGATCCTGCGCGCTAGCCCAGGTCAATGCACCCCTGGCACTGCAAGATACTGCAATATCTGGCGCTCTGGGTGACCCCCGTTTGCAGCGACCTCCGTCTCTACCAGCTCGTGTCGGGTGTTGCGAGAAGTGCCCCTGGCCCGAGGTGCCCACAGGATTGCCAAGAAGGCCCCCACGGACTCTAGAGCACCGCTCACGAGGCCCAGAGGGCCCCAGGGGCTCCAAAATGAAGCGTAAAGCGGGGGGCACCTCGGGCCTGGGCACCTTCAGCACCTCTGGATCGTGGGCCCGCACCAGAAGCCACTCTGGCGAAGGGCCGCCCCTGCGCGCAGCTCGCAGCTGCCCCTCGCCAGCGAGGCGGGCCGCTCCCCGGCCGCGCCCGCCGCCCCGTCGAGCGCGCGGCGGCGCGCCTGCTTCATCCGCACCGTCGAGAGGTGGTTCAGCACCTCTGCGTGGGGTGCGGCTCCTCCCCTCTTAGGCGGCGACACCCGGACCCTTACCTCGAACGGTCTTTCATACCCCCCCCAGAGTGGGAGAATGATGACTTTGTCCCCAGCTTGTTGACGGATTGGGACCCCAACAACTGCCCCCCCGTGGCGACCACCGCTCAGCCCTCGGCTCAGGCCTCGGCCACCGCTCAGACCTCTGCGCGAGGTGCGGCTCCTCCCCTTCAGGTGGCGAAATCCGAACCCTACTACGACGAGGCCGGAACGAGGGCAACATCGGGTGAGGATAAATCGAGAATCTCTGAGATCAGGCGGCTATGCGGGATGTCTGGGGCGCCGCGGCCTTCTCAGAGCGTTCCAGAACGTTCTGGAACGGATTTATCCTCGTCCTAGCCCCGTCCGACCGACCCCCACTAACCAACGATTCTCCCGAACTGATGGGAGGCGGGAATAGAATTCGGTTTTCGCCACGTGTTCGACGACTTATCCCCGCCGCCCATCGAGTTGCCTGAATCGTTGATCGGCGAGGGTAGGGTTTGGATTTCGCCGCCGACCTCTTCCCCTCCTTTCCCCTCCTGTCACCCTCCGTTTCTTCCCGCAAGCTGCCTTGCACAGTTTCGACTCCAACGAGGCGGAGGACGAGGCCGAACGAGGGAGGCCAGGAGGAAGACGAGGCCGAGGGCGAAGCAACGACGAGCCAAAAGCGCAGCAACGACGAGAGGGGAGGCGACGACGGAACAACATGGCACGGCTCCTCCTCTCCCCTCCCGGCCCCCCTCCGACTATCCTCCACAGCTTCTAAAGTAGGAGTTCACCCCTGTCCCCCCGGGTCCTGTGCGGGCGGATTCTGTGATGCGGCACATCAGATGCCACGCATTGCTGTTGTTTATGCCTTGCTGTGTTTCTGTCGGAGAACATGTTCTGCAGGTACCCTAAAAGTGCTCCGGCTGCAGCGTCGGCATCTTTGCGAGATCGGCGCGCCTCGCTCCCGTCGTGTGGAGTGGCGCTCCCGCCCGAGCGCGAGCCGCACTTCGGGATCCGGATGTCTCCTCGTCGTGGTCGCCCCCAGCGTTGCCACTGCTCCACCCTCCCCCTGGTCTTCCTGCTTCTCCAGTTCCTGCTCCTGCTCCTGCTTCTCCTGCTCCTGCGGATGCTGCTGATGCTCCTCCTCCTTTTCCTCTGCCGCCTCCTCCCTATCCTCCTCCACTTCCTCCCGCCCACCCTCCTCCTCCTCCTCCTCCTCCTCCTCCTCCTTCACCTCCTCCTTCTTCTCCTCCTCCATCTTCCTCTTACACATAATAACTCCTCCCTGTCCCACCCCCAGACGTGTCAGTAGAACGGGCTGTCTGTTTCGCTTTAGACGTCCTCGCAATGTGTGATCCTGACACTTGAAACTCGAAACAGTTTCACACATGAAGGGCTGGCCATGTTCAACATGTGGCTCTCGCCGTAGCGTCGCGCACACTCGTTCTAAGTACCAATTTAACTGATGGAGGGCGGGTGGACTGAAAAACGTGGCTCTCGTGCCGCGAATGGAAGGAAGGTGGTTTTCAGAATGTGGTTCTCGTCTTAGCGCCTCGAACACTCGTCCTAAAGGTTTGCAGCAAATTTACGGATAGATGGCGGACCCTTTTCATGCTGTGGCTCTCGCAGTAGCGCCGCGCGCATTGCCTGACAGTTCACAACGGTTCCAGACATATTTGCTAGGTCGAAATTCCAGGAATTGTGTTCTGGCGCGATTTCGGACCGTCAAGACGCGACGGTCACACTGATTCGCCGTGTTGAACTTGCCGGAAAGGTGTTCCAGCACGAGCTAGAATTGTCAGGCCGCAACAGTCACGTTGATCCGCGACGTTGCAATCGCAGGAACGACGATATAGGAAACTCAAACGGTTGTCTTCTAATGGGATACTTCCCGCAATGAACAACCATTCTTTCAGGGAGGGAACGTGTCTTGCAACATGGTTGATGCATCGTGGGTTTACACTGGTCCTCCTCCTTCTCGTCGCCCTCCTCCCCTCCAATCTACACAGCTCCCCCTTTGATTGCACATGACACGCGGGGGACCGAGAAAACCCAGCGCTAGGTGAAGGGATGGGTGGGAGGGGTAGGATGTCAGACATGACGCGAGCACAGCTCCCTTCCCCCGTCCCACTTCCCCTGTCCTCCATCCATCCTCGCTCCTCCCCCCAGGGGCCCCGCCCCCCTCCTCCCCCCCCCCACTATCCCCGGCCCCCCCTCCCCGCTCCCAACTCTCTCGTCCGCTCGTTCCTCGTCTCCCTTCCCGCCTTCCCCCCTCCCTCCTCGTTTTCCCTGCCTCGTCCCCCCTCCCCGCCTTCCCCGCCCCGAGGGCGCGAGGATCCAAGATGCTCGATGGAGGCTCTCGGGACCTCTCCGCTGCCCTGCCTGTGAGCATATCGGGTGCCATCTTGGGCCTTCCTGGGACCTTCTCGAGTCATCGCGGGCCGTCTCTTGGCCTCTGTGGGCCCTCTCGGGACCAGCCTTGGGCCGTCTCCAGCCCATCTTGGGCCAACATCGGGCAGTCGTGGGCAGGGACTCTCTGGGGGCGTCTCGTGGCCCTCTCGGTCCGTCTTTGCCTCCTGCGGCCATCTTGGGCGGATGACGACCAAGAAAGCGAGCATGCCATCACATAATGTCGACAAGTCAAGACACCCCCGAAGAAGCCTCCAAGAAACTCCAGGAAACCGCTCGGAGGCCCTGGATGGGGCCACTGATAGCCTCCAGAGATCACCATAGGGCTTCCACGATGGCCATAGGCAGAGAACAAACATGTGTGCTTCAATCATGTCGTCATTTCTGTCTCTGTGGGCTCCGGCGGGCGCCTCCGCCCCCGTGGTGGCCACGAGAGTGCCCTGAGAGAGTGCAAAGACCCCCCGAGAGGGATCCAAGACGCATGCCAGGGATCTGACAGGGGGCCCGAGAGCTGCCCAACAGCGGAGGCCAGTGGGATGCAGGGGCCAGGATGGCTCCAGGATAGCCCCAAGAGGCCCCATGGTGACCACAAGGCAGCTCAAGGTGGCCCAAGAACCCCACGACACCCCAGGAGGTCCGAACATGCTCATGAGAGGCTCCTGGGAGGCCCGGAGGCCCCCATGATTAGAATCCGCCGACCTGTTGGCGTGTGTGGGGTGTCTGTCCGATCCCGTCGACGCGGAGCCTTCTTTCGCCCCTTCCTTCCCGTCCTCCTCTCCCGTCAGGGGAGAGAGAGAGAGAGAGAGAGAGATAGAGAGAGTACCCTTCCTTGTTCGGGGAACGGACTCGCAGCTTGAGGAAATTCCATCCACGTCCTCATTACGTCAAAGGGAAACCCCTTCCCTTTGCCCTTTCCCCGGCGAGGGGGAGCCGTGGGGAAGGGGGGTCATATTCGCATCGCCTCTGGGGGTCCTCCTCTCCCACGCTGGTCCTTAGGTGGGGAGGAGTCCCGGGGGGGGGTCAGATACGCCACCGTCCCTGGGGGTCCTCCTCCCCCTCCCCTCCACTCTCCCACGCAGGTCCCTCTCCGGTCGTCCTCCTCCCTAGGGGCGGGGCCCAGGGGGGAGTCCTTTTCCCCTTCCTCTTCCTTCTCCTCCTCCTCCTCTTCCTCTTTATCTCCGCCTCCTCCTCCTCCTTCTCCTCCTCCCCCTTCTGGTCGTCGTCGATGTCTCTCAGGGTTGGCGGCACCGGCCGTCAGGCTTTCACAATAAAAGTCCCAACTGATGGCCAACATCTTGAAACAACGGTACGATTTGATATACATGATTGTCTTCCTGCCTCTGCGGCTCCAGTGGAAGCCCACGGATCCAAGCCCGTAGGAAGTCCCCAAGAAGCCCCTCAGAGGCCCCGAAGAGGATGTATTAAAGACCAGATCGAGTCCCCAAGACGCCCACGACGAGGTCTTCACATTGTCTTGTGGTGCTTGCGGGCTTCGACGGCGACACTTGGAAAGGGTGGGTCTGTCGGGTGTTGCACTCAATATCCCGGGCGACTGCATCTCCCCTACGCGAGTTTCTCAAGACACATTGAAGAAACTACCACCACCCAACAACTCTCAATGCCCAAGAGCTCGCAGGCGAATGGCAAGGGCGACGCAAGATGGACTGGCGGAGCGCGCGAAACGGGCGCATGATCTGTAAGGACTGCTTCACATCAGTCGTCTTACCCACGCATCCCTCGTACCCATATTACCTCTCCCAGAAGCCCTCGCAACTCGTCCTGCAGTCCTCCCCGCGGCCTGTTTATTCCGCTAGCCTGAATCCCCGAAGCAGAGCGGGCGTCCGCAGGCCGCCTTTTCTGCCCTCAACCGAAGCACACCTCCGCACGGGAGACTTCTGGACGCCTCCGGGCGCCGTTCGGGACCTCTGCAGAAGCCATCCTGGGCATTCGTTGAAGCCCCTTGGTGTCCTCTTCGCCTCATTTGGCCCGTCCCCGGGGACCTCTAGAGCTATCTCGGAACCTTGAATCATGTCGGGAGAAAAGCAGAACGATGCCAAAACCCTCAAACACCAACTGAATGTTCGTGATTTTGTCATCGCCTCTGGGAGCTCTCGTGAAGCCTCTCGGGATAACTCAATTGCCCTTCTTCATGTCCCAAGCCTCCCAAAGGCCCCACGTGTCCAAACATGTGGGGTGGCGGCGTCTGCCCCCTCAGTGGTGTTCAAAAAACTCGGCGAGCCCCCATGCGGGCTGCTGCAGTGTTCACATTCGAACTTAGATGATGAAGTGGAGGATGATAGAGGAAAGTGGGACGCATGCGTACCAAGGTGTTGTTTCGCATTCCGCTGGCCCGAAGCGACCTTCCGCACCAGCTCCGTTGCGCAAGGAAACTATACCAGTGATCTGTTCTTCCAGGCTCCTGGGGCACATGAAGATACTAGCCACTTGCGCCTCGAATCCTGACCGTCGCAGAAGTACAACTCATGAGCCCTTCCATTCTCATGGGAGCCTCACTAGGGAGCCTCGATTCGGCACACCCTGACGCACTTTGTAGATCATGCGGGCTCAACTGGCCCTTGGAACTGCTCCATGGGGCTTCAATGTTGCACGCCTCTCCAACACGTTGTGCGGCGTCAGCCACGCGCTTCGCAAGGACGGCGAGCGCGCGGCGAGCCTCATTGCCCCAGGCGCCGCCGTGCGCCTCCATCACCATGGGGATGAAGGTGACGCTGGACGCGCTGCAGCTGCGCGCCGTGCCGAGGAACTGGTGACTACCTACCAGACCACCCCAACCCAACCCGAAGACCCGAATTTCGGGATGGGGGGGTAAGGGTTCCATACGTGTTTTCTCGATGTTCCGCGCCCCCCCCCCCCCACACAGACTGGAAATGGAGGGCAAATCTGAACCTTCGGGTTGGGTTGGGGTGGTTTGGTGGGTGTAGCGCTCGGCGGCGGCGCCCGGCGCAGCTGCCGAGGCTGCAAGGAGGTCGCCCCGCAGCCCAGAGGTGACCGCAAACTCAAGCGCAGCTGGGACGCCGTTGCGCCCGCGGGGGATGTACACATCCGCTGGGCGCCGGCCTCTCTCGTCAAGCTCGCCGCCGTTGGCCTCCGTCCCTGGCGGGCCCTCCCCTTGCTCGCGGGGCTGCAGAAAGCCCGGCCGCTCGAGCTCGGCGCCAGGGAAGCCCGCTGCCTGCGCGGCGAAGAAGGCTTCGTCGCGGAGTGCGCTGTGCAAAAGCGTGGTCCCCGTAGACGTCCACGACGCCGTCGCAGGCCGAGCAAAAGGCCTCCTCGCTCCCCAGCTGCACCCGCAAACGCTTCTGCACAGCGATCTTCATCAAACCGCACGGGAGGCCGTGCCGACCTCGGCGCAGGGCCGCGCCTGTAGCCAGCCGCAGGCGCCCTCCGCGCTCACCAGCGAGAGGTGGGCCCTGCTGGCCAAGTTGGCGCGCTCCCGGAGCTCGGCCTTAGCGGCTTTGTCCAGTTTGTCGAAGAGGCCCCGCTGGTCGCAAGTGATCAGCCAGCGTTGCTGTCTGGCGTCGAACTCCATCCTGTCCGCCTGCGTGAGCTGGGCGTTGAAGGAAATCGCGGCCTCGCCCAGAGCGCCGTCAGCGCCCGTGTCGTCGTCGGAGTAACCCGCCCAGAGCTGCTGGCAAAGCGCAGAGCAGGCCGCGCGGGAAGCCAGGTAGGCGGCTGGCGCATGCCGCTCCGCCGAGCGCAGCCCCAGGCCGCCTGCCTTGAGGGCGAGCCGCGCCTGCGCCCAGGAGTCGTCCGCGGGGGCGCTGCTCGTCAGTTGCAACTCCTGCGTGCGAATATCCTTTTGGGGGCCGCCGAAACCCCGCTCTGTGGGCTAAATTCAAAGTGGATCTCGCACTATCTTGGCGTCGCTGGGCGCGCATGTGCCGTTGCTTTCCAGCGCGCCCAAGGGCCAGCGGATTCGTGACACACGCAAGCCGCCCTCTGGCCACGGTGTTGCTGGGCGTGCAACTGCCGCTGGCTCTTCCGCGGCGGAGGTCCCCAAATGCCCAAACAAGAGCCAGAAACGTCCGAGAGCATGTCCTCGATCCCGCTCCTCTATCCTCCTTCGCCTGCCCTTCACTGCCCCAGACATCCGACGTCACAATGTGTTCGTGACGTGGGCCCCTAGGCAACAGAACCCCCTCCCGGGGGTCAGCTTTCCGTCATGAGTCTGTTGACGGTCCTGGAGACTGCAGTTGGGCACCAACGGACCAGCATGCTGTGGTTTAGCTATATACATATATATATTTATATATAAGATGTAAAGAAACAACACGTACTTGGAAAACACAGCAATTGTGATCTCACTGCTCCCCGGACCTCTCCCGGGGTGCGCTCGGACAAAGATTTGGAGGTGAGTCCAGCCGTCGCGAAGGGCCTACAACGCGAAAACGAGTGACGGGCAGCAGAACCACTGCATCTTCCTCATCGGAATCTTGATTCACTCGTGACGTTGGAGGCCTGGGTCCTCCTCGCTTCCTCGCCCCCCCCCTTGAGGGTATGGCCGTGCTCACAAGGGGGTAGGGGGGGGGGAGGGCGGGAGGCTTCTTGGAAGGAGGCTGCCTCTAAGAAGGCCCTACATCGACAGACCAGGCCGGCGCCTTCTGAGAAACAAGGGGTGCTTCTAAGGGGCCTCTCCCCCTCCCCCTCCCCCCCTTCTGCGCGTGGCTGATTCGGACGCCCAGTGACACATGTTGTCCCAAAGCGACAGCGGCCGCTGTTGGGCGGGCGGCTTGCTGTCTTTCAAGAGCAATGTCCGCGGTGGCGCGAACAGCGAGCCCTGTTCAAAGGGAGCAGGAACTGCTGCTGGGCATCGTACCCGTTCTTTCCGCACCCATTGCGATCGCCCCGAGCTGGGCTGGGGGTGGGGGGGCGCCTTGAGCCTCCAGAGCCCGCCCCGCGCCCGGCAGAGCGGGAGCACGGACTCCGCGACCGCCCCCGCCTTGTCGACCTGTCAGGGGGGGCGGGCCTCCTTTTCGAGGACGCGAAAAATCAAGTGACGGGCCTCCTCCCGCTCCTCCACTCCGCCCCCCCCCCCTCCTCCTCTGATCCCCCTCCTCCAGTCCGCCCCCTCCCTTCCCCCTCATCTCCGTCCCCCCTGCCTCCCCCTCGTCGCCCAGCATCGGATCGATGAGTGGGGACGCCGATCGAAAAGAATCGCATCGGCGGAAATCGGCAGCCGAGTCGGGAGAAGTCGAGTCGGAGAAAATCGGCAGGCTAAACGTCTCCGCTGCGAAATCGGAAACCGAATCGGAATTCCAAATCGAATCGAATCGGAATCGGAAACCATCGAAATCGAATGGGAGGAGTCCGAATGAGCCGTGGTCTCCACCCCTTTTACGTATGAATAACTCCTCCCTGTCGCGCCCCAAGACGTGTCAGGAGTGCGGGCTAGGCGCTTCGCCTCATATTCCTTCACCACTTCATTACCCTCAAGCTTGGCATACGCAACAGCGTCAAGGATGAAAGGCGGGTGGTGTTCAAAATGCTACTCTGCTTTAACGCCGCGCGCTCTTAAACTGTGGCAGCAATTGCAAGGATAGATCACGTCTCGTTTCCAAAATGCTGCTCTCGCCTTCGCGCCGCGCGCATGCGTCTGTAACATGTCGCAGCTGCTCCAAGAATGGAGCGAAGGTCGTTGACTAAATGGGGTTGTCGCCTCAGCGCCGCGCACAATCGTCTTGCAGTCGTGTAGCGCGTTCAAAAATGGTGAGCGGTCCTTTTTCGCAGATGGCTGTCGTCTCAACGGCGCACAAAATCGTCCTGAGATGCTGCAGCCGTGTCAGAGGTGGAGGGCGGTTCTGTTCCAACAGATGGCTCTCGCCGTAGCGCCGCGCACCTCCACCTGTAAGCATTGCACATGTGGTGGGGGTGGCGGGCGACTCCTTTTTCAAAAGTGGGCTATCGCCATAGCAGAGCGCAAGCTCGTGATGAGAGGGTCCAACGATTCCGCTGCTGGATGGCGGACCGTTCTTGAAGTGGGGCTCTTGTTTTCGCGCGGCGCGTATTTGACGTAATATGCTGTATTATGGAAGGGATGGGGTAACGGTGGTCTTCAAGATGCTGGTCTCGCCTCAGCGCCGCGCACGCTCGTCTTAAAACCTCGCAGCCGTTGCACGGACGGGGCACACGTCATGTCCAAAGGGTGGCTCTCGCCCAAACGCCGCCCACGACGGTCCTAAACGCTCGCGACGCTTCGAAACATGTGAAACGGCTCATGTTCGAAATCGGCTTATCACTTGAGACGTGATGTACGGCTTGTCTTCTAAACACCTAAAACTACGAAGCTTCAACGCATGCAGCACTGAAAGGATCGAGGGTGCCTTCTACGTATGCACTACGAAGCTCTCGCTTGAGTACAACTCGAAGTTCATGGCCACCAGCGCAGGTTGTGCAACAGTTACACGGTTTGGAGAGGTGGTCCGCACATCACTGAACAGTCCTGATTCTGCGCCGAAGCAGTGCAGGGCACTTCTTTTTCAACGCGGTGCCCTCGCCAAAATGGCAGGCCCATGTGGTGCTGGTCTTTCAAGGGGGGCGCTTCTTGTAGTGAAGAGGAAAGCGTACAGGCACGTATGAGGAGGGGACTTGGGACAGGAGGGTGGAATGAAACATCGCTGCTACATCTTGACTGGCCCTCCTCCTCCCCCTCCTCCTCCTCCTCCTCCTCCTCCTCCTCCTCTCCTGCCTCTCCGCCTCTCCTCTCCTCCTCCTCCTGGCCCCTGGCTCTCTTCTGGCCACACGCCGCAGGATGATGACAAGTCCCGACGAGGATAAACCTGGAATCACTGAAACCTGGCGGGCCTCGAGGATACATCGGTCGTGGCGGCCAGTCCGAGCGATCGTAAACGCTCTTGACGGCCGTTGCTGTGTGACGCCCCCTACCCCGGCATGTATCAATAGTTAATCAACGTTCTCATAGGCGTCGACGGCGACAGCAAAGCTGACAATCGACCGAACCGACAACGAAAACGTTCGAAACCGACGGACCGAAGTCAGCCTGAAATGACGCAGCGGCGCAGCAGCTGATCTAAGCGAACCGACCGACTGCAACCGACTCCGAAGCAGCCGAGCCGACCGAAGCGCCGGCACCCCTGGATATTAAGACAAAGCCATGCCCCCGGGGATTTTCGAGGGTAACTCCTGGAAACTTCATGGGAATGTTTCGAGGAGGTTGATCCTAATGACAGAGTTACTAAGTCGGATCATCCCCGACTAAGCCAAGGATTGGGCCACGGGTACGCCAGCGCCATTGCTGAATTCACCCTCCCAGGAGTGGCAACCTAGCGTGCGGCTCACAGCGCAAGCGGCTTCCCCCTTGGAGGCCTGTGCTGGACCGAATCACGAGATCGGATGGGATCGCATGAGGACCGCATCGCCAACGACTCGTCTCGGATCGACTCGAAATCGGATTGCGGATTGCCGCACGCGGCCCCAGCCGGCGAAACGAATCGCACGGAATCGGATCGTAGGCGGCCCTGACCTCGAGGAGGAGGAGGGAGGGAGGGAGGGAGGGAGGGAGGGAGGGGAGGGAGGGAGGAGGGAGGAGGGAGGGAGGGGGAGGAGGAGGAGGAGGAGGAGGAGGAGGAGGAGGAGGAGGAGGAGGAGGAGGAGGGGGGGGAGGGGGAGGAGGCGGAGCCCCTTGTCCATCTCCGCCCCTCCCGGTGCCCCTGCCTCTGCTGCCCCTCCTCCTGATGCTCCCCCCCCCTTCTGGAGGGGGGGGCACGGACGGGGGCTTCGAGGGGCACGGCAGGGGCCCTCGAGGCGCGCCAAGGAGGCCTCAAGAGAACATCGAGGGGGCCTCGAGCGGGGCCCATGAACCACCGCCGCCTTCATGTGGACGGACCCTGGACCCGAGGGTCCCGGGGCCCGTGGAGGGCCCCCAGGGGGCCAACAGAGCCCGCACACGGCGAACACCCTCCGAGGTCCGTTTCCCTCAGGGCCCTTTTCTCCTCGGGGCCCTCTCAGGGCCCCCTCAGGACCGGAGTCGGCAGTCGCATCGGACCGCCGCCCGAACCGGGCCGGAGTCGCACCGTCTGGTACCACATCGGAATCGTAAACGCACCTCTGCTGGAGGCCTCCCGCAACGAACAGACAACCGCAACGATGCACTTCGCCGAAACGGATCGGACGGGATCGGATCGCGGGCGGAGGTGGCATGTCTACACCGCTCGCCGCCTTTGCTCACTCAGGGTGCCTTGCAGAACCCATGCCTCGCCACCCTTCCCCCTTCTTCTTCACATCATCCTACCCCTCCTCATCGTTCCCGTGCTCACCACTTCTTATTATCCCTCGCTGGGCTACCACCTCCCATATCATCATCCTGCGCCTCCTCCTCCTCCTCCTCCTCCTCCTCCTCCTCCTCCTTCTTGACTTCATCCCCCTCCTCCCCACGATCCTTGGCGGGAGTGCTCGCCACACGCGACAGCTACTGGCATAACAGGAGGGCACTTGGTGCCTTGCCAGGGTGCCTTCTCCTCCCAGGCCCAGCGTACCCAGAGTCCCAGCCGCTGCCAGTTACCGATGTGCAAGAAGTGCTTCGGAAGGGTCGGAAGGGTTATAACTCTAGAACTGTTGCTTCACGACCCTTGGGCTAGGGCCAGGGACCCGAGAGCCCCGAAACGGCAAGGATAACTCAACTCTAGGAGCCCCTGTCCTCCAGGAATCCGTCCCTTCATACTGACCCCAGTGCGAGTTCCAAAACCTACTCTTTGCTGGCGCATCTCCACTCCCATACTACCCTGCCCAGCACGCCCTCGCAAGAGAGCGCACGCGCTGCATCGTGCCCTTCTGATCCCTCTAAGAGGTGGGCTGGCCGCGGGGATGGGCTCTCGCCAGCGACTACTGCCCCCTCTCTGCGGGTTCACTAAACGGTGCGGTGACAGACTGTGCGGTGACCTCGGAAGCACGAACATCCTTACCGCACGTTCATCAACCGCACGGTTGGGGACCCTGGGTGGCGCTAATCGCCCGAGCCGTCCTCCGAGAACGACCCGATTCCCAAAACCGAGTGGTCACCCCGAATCCCCACTGACTCAACTGACGGTGAAGTCACCGCACCGTCTTGGGACTTTCGACTCTCGGAGACCTCCAGAGACCTCCGGCGCGCGCCGCTTTCTCATGCACACTGCGAGCAGGTAGCAATTCGTCCCGATCGCTACCGACATGTTCTGACACCAGATGCCGCTGAACAGCTGATGCGCAGTCTTCATGCGCGATCAGCTCGCACGCGCAGGCCACTGCGCTGTAGCCCCTGACGTCTGACCCGAGCTTCGCGTCCCACAAGCTGCCCATCAACATGACGGCATGTTGCCACTGCCCGGACAGTGCACACGCAATGACCCCAGTGTTGTAGCTGACGACGTCCGGACCGGCACTCGATTCCCCCATCTCGCGCAGCAGCAGCAGTGCATGCTGCCACGCTCTGCCCGTCTCGCACGCGCCGATCCCAGCACCGTAGCATCTGCTATCCCGCAGCATCCTCGCCCAGCAGATCTCGGCAATCAGCGACAGTGCCTGCTGCCACTGCCCACCCTTGCCGCACGCGCCAACCCCAGCGCTGTAGCAGACAGGCGAATCCGTGGATCAACATGCGCTGCGGACGCACGCCGAACGAGTGGAACGGCGAGGATGAAAGATGGCGAGGACGAGCCCCGACACGGCCAATGACTTCTGCATCGCAGGTCGCGGCGGCGGCCTCTGCGACCCGCGATGCCCTGCAAGCGGGTAGCGGGTCGCTCCGCTCCGCGGGGCGGGAGGCCGGGCGGAGCTCGGCACGTCGACGCCCGGGGACAGGGAAGTGTACGGCGTGCCGCGCCGAAGCGCGGGTGGCCAACACCCGGGGAGAGGCACGCGAAGCGAGCGTTCCCGACCGGACACTGCGAACGCACGCCGGACAGGTGGACAAAGGATGACGAGCGACGACGATGACGAACCCCGGTATCGGACGTC